ATTATTTTTAATAAATTTAAATAAAATTTTATTATTAAATATAAAAAATAAATTATTAAAATTTTATATAAATATATTCCATATAAGTAATTTATTGTGTGACGTAACCTTCTTTACCGCTATAAATACTTACTAGTCCCATTCACCCACCACCACTAGCCCAAATCTACCGAAAATCGTGCGAATGCAGTCAAGATTTTGTTTCCCTATTTTCTCTGTCTCTCTCCTCCTTCTCTCCCTCGTCGGCTCCGGCGTCGGCGTTGGAGCTATTCCCGGAGGATGGCAGCCGATTAAGGATCTGAATGATACACACGTGAAGGAGATCGCCGAGTTTGCGGTGTCGGAGTTCAACAAGCAGTCGAATACGACTCTGAAACTGAACCAGATCGTCAAGGGAGAACAACAGGTGGTTGCGGGAATGAATTACCGGCTGACTTTGAACGTGAGTGATGGCGCAGAGACCAAGAGTTACGAGGCTACCGTTTGGGAGAGGCCTTGGTTGAAATCCAGGGAACTCACCTCATTTAAGCCTGCTAGTTAGAGTGAATTATGCAATGTATGAATCTCTGTCGAATGTATGAATATGAGAGACTAATCTAGAATAAAAGAATCATTTGATTCGATTTTATTTGTTCCTGACAGCTTGATTTTAAAATTTTCAAAATAAAACAAAGTAATTGTCGGATTTCATAGGCAGAAAAAAAAAAAATCAGGTTCCCCAAATATCTAGATTCATAATATATTTTGTTTTACCAGTGATGAAATTAACAGTTTAGTTTACAATGTAAAATTGTAATTAATTTATTATTATGAAATTTTTATTTTTCAACTTAGATGAAAAATCGCACCCGAGCAAGTGATCTTCGATCACCTCCCATGATAATATTGTTTAAAAAAAAAAAAAAAAAAACTTTGATGAAAAATCTGATGAGGAATACTGGAGCATCTCTATTCCTGAACAGGACGTCGCTGGTGATTGATGAGTATTTTTTTTTAAAATTCAAATTAAAGAATGACCAATTCAAATTGAGTCATGAGTGTCTCAGACTCTCAATAAAGGAGCATGTGAAATGTTGAAATGTAGACAGCATTAACATGAGAGCAATGCTAGGGGCACTCGCTTTTTGCACTCTCCTTCCAACACTTCCCCTTTCATTGGGCCACGTAGGCTTCTTTAAAAATGCTTTCAGCGCAACTTCTGCGAAACCAAAATAACGTGGCCCAATAAAAGAGAAAGTGTTACCCGGAGAGTGCAGGAGGCGAGTGCCCCTAGCATTGCTCTTAACATGATTATCTCAATTCTCAAAAAGCCGCCTCATTTTTCTTGCAGTCTAAGGGTCCGCTTAGTGCAGCATTCCAGCTGTTTTAATTTTTTTATATTATTTATATTTTATAAATTTAATTTTTTTAAAAAAAAATT